ATGATTGCTCATATCCTGATGGAAGTCGACCCCACTGAAGAAAATGTACTTACAAATAAAAAGAGTGAATCATACATTTTTAATACAGCATTAGATTGTTATCTACAGACAATAGGATTTGCCCTATTAAGAACAATTTGACATTCTACTACCATCCGATAAGCAGTATTAGATGGAAATAAACAAGCAACTTAAGAGACTTTTCGAATTCTTGTCCTATGTCTTGTTAGCCCATCTGGCATGGGCGAACAGGATTGCATATTTCACGGGCGTAGAATGTAAAACAACTTAATTTTCGGACAAACATCAACTATAATAACTGTTATATATGAACAAAGCGTCGCTACCGACACTTGAATTTGAACACAGATTACCAGTGAGCAAACACAGGTGATCCCATTTCTAATAGGTAGATCACATGACCATAGAAGCAACGCATAAATAGAAAGTAACGTGACGTCAAACTGATCACTCTTTCTATATTATCCTCTATTACTCTACGGATCACTATTTCTACACTATCCTTTATTATTATACGGAGCGCTATTCTCTACTCTATTCACTATTACTCTACGGATCGTTATTCTCTATACTATTCACTATATTATTTCTCTATTCGGATCACTATTCGGTGGTTACTATTCGAGCGAGTATTATTGAGCAAGTACTATTAGTGCGAGTGTTATTCGAAGGCGTCTAACATCAGTATTGTTCAACGGCGTTACTAGAGTCGTACCTGTGATTACAAAGTCTCTACTACAACGAGCATTTCGAGAGTGACAACGGGTATTCGTTGACATTACAAAAGTGGCAAGGAATGTTGGTTGAGTTGCAAAAACAACATAAAAGATAAACTAGTAAAAGTTTAATCAATAATAATAAGAATTATTTACCTATGAACTTCTCTTCACCTTTCTTCATATCTGTGCTTATAAGAAACGCATCTAGAGCATTTTAATATATCGTACCCCATTCGAAACGAATATACACAGTGAAAACAGTGCATTATTGTTGTTTCTATTGAGCCCAGTGTTTCAGTAATGAGCCAAGCTACGCCGATGACAGATATATTCATTGTTGGCATAAGGATGACCTTGAAAAAAGGATCACCATCCTGTACCAAGAAGTAGAAATTCAGGTTAACCATTCAAAAACAGAAACCATGATCTCTAATTGGAATGAGAATAGTGATAGCACTTAACCTGAATCTGTCATAAAAATCTATGGGGAATTGGTAATTTCTAAACAAATACCTCTATGCAGTGAACAGTTATAAAAAATTTAGTATAGGAGATAAGGGAATGAATTCAGAATAAGATGAGCGAGGAACACTTTTGTCCAACACCGTAAGATGCAGCAACCCTAACCCTGGAGTTAGGATTTTAAATACGAGGCCTGATCCCAAAGATAATCTCTACTGTTGGTTTAGTAACAGAGTTAAAACACGTAGAATGAAACCGTTTGGCACAGATGGTTTTAAATTCTGTCGAGCATGCAAACTAAGTTTTGTAATGTTCTCACTCACTTCTGTTCTTTATAGCAGTGCCCAGAAGGAAAGTGTGTAGTATGTGGTTGTCTCACAACACCACAGATGTTCCATCAGGGACAAACGACTCTGGGTAAAGTGTGACTTCAAAAGGGTACTACTTCGAAGGAGATTAATTTCCGAATTGATGTGTGTTATAGTTTTATTTTTATATCACCAGTTTTGATACTTTTTGGTCAGCTTTCGTAGCCTCGTCAGATCTAGATTTTTGTATGGATGTAATGCATGGTTTTTTAGGTATGTCCCATTTAACGCTAAAAAAAGTGGTGTACTCTGGAGAAAAAAAGGCCCCCAAATTGATAAAAAAAAAATTTAACGTGTAAATGTTTATGTTAGTATTAAAGAGGAAGACCAAAGTATTTTCTGAATATTTTTCAGATTTTTAATCCTTTCTATAAATGTTAAAAATTTTATTTAAAAATCTTGTTTTTCTCGAATCAAAAGAAATTTCGTAAATTCAATCTTAACGGGCATTTCTGCCCGAGTTTGTAAACAAAAATCAAAATTAGTTAAAAAATCATGTAAAATTCAGTTACACCTTTTTCTTTTGTTATCTTAGGAAATTTAGAATGATTAAAGTATACTTAATGTAATTTGAAAGAAACATTACTTACTTTTTTAGCAGAATTTTTTTAATATAGATATTTCCAACCGTGGTGCTTGCCTAGGTGCGTGATTGAGAGGTGTTAATTGATGTTCGTCAATATATTGACAACTTACATCAAGGAAATTTATCGTACAGTAGCGCAGAAGTGATGTAATTCGTTCTAATTTTAAGTGAACCTGGTTAGTAAATTTAAAAAAAAAATTCACTTTCAAATTGTTTTAACCTTACGTTTGAGGAAAAATTTCTGAAGTAAAAAGAACTTGCTTCTCTCAAGAGAAACAAGTCTACCTCATGTGACATTATTTCAAAGCTGTGCATCCATACTTCCGTTGGAGACAATTTTCGAATATTAAAAATTATTTTTAAAAATATCAGCGGTTGTCAGATTTTTAATAAGCTTTCAAATTTATGATCTTTAAAAAAGTAGATAACATAATATGTCATTTCCATAAGGTTGTATAAAGAAACTTAATTTTAAAATATATAACAACATTTTGTCATAGTATTTAAGATGAAAAAATTATTGTAAAAATTCATCTTTCATTAAAATTTGTTTTTTCTTTCAGATAAAAATTACCTTAGTATATGTTATTCAGAAAAGTCATAAAACGCTTTTTTTAATTAAATATTATCTTAGTTTTATTGGGTTTTGTATTTTTTACAATTGAGGTAAAAAGTTTGGACAATTTTGTACATTTTTTACCAAAAAAATCGATGATTTATCTTCAGTCTTGTGCATTTAATAAAAAAAAATCAGGTTGAAAAAATAAATTTTTGAAGTTTTCATAAAATTAAGTTCGAGGGGTGTAACATATATATATAAAAAAATATATTTATACCATGACTTTAAAAAAGACAAAAATTTCTAAAATAATTTCATTCATTTGTGAATAAGTTCTGAAGGTTTCATTAAAATCCAACAAGTACTTGATTTTTGCAAGATTTTCAAATCAATGTGTTTTTTCAACTGAAAAAAAAAACAAAAGGGACATAATAACGCATTCAGAAATGTTGTCTCAATTACTAACTGTCAGAATTTAAGGAGAACAAAATGATAGGGTCTTATATATAATATGAAGATTCTTCTGTGTTTCTGGAAAAGCGATGTTTAGGACTCCAGATCCAAGCTAGCCAGATTCATTTACTATGTCCCAGGCGAGGACTTGGATTTCCCTAAATTGAGATCTGCGAGCCGAAGTTTCTTTCTATATCTGGGGATGATATATACCCAAAGGGAAACAGTACTATAGACTCTTAAGCTTTTGGGAGAGGCAAATTTAGCTTCAGCTCGCCCCACCCTAACCCAGGTTAAAAAGCAACTGCTCGGTGTGGCTGTTGTAAACAAATTGGATGACTGGTCACTCTCGTCACTGTACGAAGTGACGTCATTAAGCTGCCATCACGTGGCCTGTGTGACTTATCTTCAACAAAGGAAGATAATCCCCTTTTGTATTCCTACAAATCTGTTAACTTTCCACGCTATCAAATGCAAAAAAAGATTGCAAGGAAACTCCCAATAATATTAAGAAACACACTTAAAAAAGCTTAAATTCCTGAAAAAAGATGTTATAAATTGCCAACGAAAATGACGCTAAATTTACGGCTAATAAATGTTGAATGTTTTCTGTATGGAAACGTCTCATTTCTTCTTCTATGTGCAGCGTTCCTGCAGGACATAGTCGATCGTGGCTCTCCATAACTTCCTATCTCTTGTGTCTCTTAACAGTTTTTCTTCATTTTGCTAAGGCTCCTGTTCTCCCTTCCACCATCCATTCAAATAAGCTAGCTATGTAAGTCGTTTGTTGCCATCACCTATTTGTTTTGCCATCAATATGTCCCGTGAAGGTTGCGTTTTCCAAGCCTTCCTTCCTTATAGAATTTCTGCAGTCTTTTCTTGATTCTCAGTAGAAATGTTCTTTCTGTTGTTATTTTCTTTAAGAATTACTGGTTGCATGGAATTCTCAGTATCCTTATGTAGAACCACATATCTTCTGGGTTTTTTCTCCTCATCCTTGGGGAGATTGTCCAGCATTCAATGCCACATAACAGGATGGATAACAGATAACAATTCAGCACTATTTCCCTTGTTTCTAAGGAAGTGTTTCCGTTTCACGTTACCTTGCTTAGCTATTAGAATGTTTCTTTCACTCGTCCAATGCGTGTTCACGTTTTCGGTGTCACATTTTCTATTATCTCTTAAAAAACACTTTCACCATTACTATAAATACGTGCCACAAAATTGTCCAAATCTCGATACTTGTACTTGCCATTAAAACATCTAAATTAAAACAAACGGTACAACTGCATAGTAATAGTAGTAGTAGTAGTACTACTACTACCACTACTACTACTAATAACAATAATAACGGTGAAGTCTTTGATAGTGTTTATATGTGTATACAAAAGAAGCTTTGGAATATAGTTCTATAAAAAACGAATCTATTTTTCATTCATCCTAACAACAACAAAACGAACACTTATACGTAGCACCAGAAAAAGAAAGTTGAAAGTTTGAAGGCAATTAATGAGGAAAGAAGGCTTGGAAAATTTAACACTCACAGGACAAACTGAAGGCAAGAGGAACAAAGGAAAGCAGCTCATAGCCTACCGAAAAAGCAGAACAGGGATTAGGTGATATAGCAAAAAGATAAATTTTACTAAGAGCTACGAGGGACAAGAAGTTGTTGGGAGCCATGATCGCGCACATTCTGACGGGTCACGACACACAGAAGAAGAAGAAGAAGAAGAAGAAGAAGAAGAACGGCAAAACAACAATGATAGTAGTAGTAACAGTAGTAGTAGTAGTAGTAGTAGAGCAAATATAATCTTTAGGTGTGTAAATGAAACAAGATTTGGAAAGAAAATCTTTTTGGCGCTTCCGAATATTGCTGTCTGTAAGCAAACGGCAAAAACTGAGCAGAAAGAAAAGCTGGTCACGTTATTAATGAACTAAAGAATATGAGACAAGATGTGAGAAACTAAAAAGGAATCGGTAAGATGTTCGTTTATTAAAGATTTGTTTATATGTCAGTTTTTGTTTGGAAACGGTGCGTGTGACAAACTGTCCTGACAGGGAGTTGATAGGTTCTGAAGAACGAAAAGATCTTCATCGAAAAAAAGAGAGGAAAATGAATGGTAAAAGGTTCAGAGAGAGAGAGAGAGAGAGAGAGAGAGAGAAAGGGGTGAGAGAAAGAAGAAAGAAAGAAAGAAAGAAAGAAAGAAAGAAAGAAAGAAAAAGAAAGAACGATAGCTCAAGACCGAAGCAAAAGAGATACACGAAAGAAAGACTGATCCATTAAAAAGAAAATAACATATATCCTAAATATCGCATAAAAACAAAAGAAAATTCTAGACAAAAAAAAACAAAAAAAACAAAAAAAAAAAAAAACAAAAAGAAAAAGGAAGAAAAGTGCAGTATGTATTTCGACGGTGTAGAAAATGTCTGAGTGTGAGCGACTTCCAACAACGTAAACTGCCGATCTTGACGACAGACCGCTTTCGAGGCGAGACAAGAGACACTTCAAAAAGCCGAGATGTTATTCACTGATAACCGGCAAAGCCTGGTAACCTAAGAATGGCTGGGGAGGACTGCGGGTGAGATGGGTGGTGAAGACAAATGGGTGGCTAGAAAGAGGTGTGTGGGAGCACAACGGTGGGGACAGGAAGAGTCTGGAGAGCAACAATTCTTTATTTCTGACAAGTCTCTTATTCCTCGAATTATTATTATTCTCACGCAGGCGGTATGTGGAATCAAATGTTGCGGGCGTTGGCAGCAGCAGGGGATGCAGTGCCGGCTTCTCTCAAACCCCCCCCCTTCACCAATCATTACCCCTCCAAATATCTCCACCACCATCTCCTCTTAACCACCGCAGCTACAAAGACGAAGCTTGTTGCATTTGCTACGCATTTTTGCATAGATAGATAGATATTAAGAGAATGGGATAGATATTAAAGAAATAGTCACATAAAGAGAGAGAGAGAGAGGGGGAGAGAAGAAAGAAAATATATGTAAATTTCTATCTACCAGAAAAAAAGATTTTATATATCACAAAGAATGAGATAGATATTAATAGATTTAGTCTTAGTTTTAAAATATTGCAGAAATGTATTTTTTTGTTATTGAAGTTGTTGACAGACGGAAGTTTATCTAATTTTTTCCCTACGGGGGACCTATCTGTAAAAATCACTTTAGGAATATCGCGTGAGCGCCTTTTTATATAACATGTAAGTACCCAGTCATCTTTAGAAAATAGGAAAATATTCTCCGTAATCAAATGTTTTATTGAATTTTAGGTACATTGGCTTTAATTTTACAATAGTTATATTGTTATATTGTATATGAACGTCCGTATTTAAAATAAAAATTCAGCACGTTTATACACGCACAAAACAAATTCAAAATTCTTTTTACAATACTGGGGGTCGTTGAATTGTAGTAAACCTTTCCACTTACAATTAGCAAATATAGCTTTTACTTAATAACAATATCACCGAATAGGTAAAAAGTAATATTTGTTTCAATCAGATTAATTAACATTTAAACCAGCGAAAATTTCTTTAATAAATTTTCAAAAAGTTTATTTTATTTTTGAAAGATTTTTTAATAAAGGGATTTACATTGTGAATGGCAGATGGCTAAAAATGACCTTAAAACCGGCGATTTTTAGTGATTTCAAACCAAAAACTTCTTCCAGTCAATTTAAATTAGTTTTGAAATATATCAAATTATTTTGCTGATTGAAAATATAATATTTAATTTATTAGCTTAAAATTCAATTAAAATAAAAGATTTAAGAAATATTTTTCCCTTTCAAAAATTCATTTTAGACCTTAGGTATTGTATTTCTGTGTAACCCGGATATAAGAGAGTTGTCGGGACCGGAGAAGAAGTCTCTTATATCCGGGTTTCTCTTATATCCGGGTTTGGTCTATTTTGTTTAGGTAAGTATGGCTCTAATTTGGGACCAGAAAAAGTCTCTCTTATATCCGGGTTTCTCTTATATCCGGGTTTCTCTTATATCCGGGTTACACTGTACCTAATTAATAGTTTATCTTGGGTATATATATTGCTTCAAATCGCAACAAACCTCCTAAAGCAAAAGAACCTTGCGACAATTCTCTTTATGACAAGACATCCACGCAAGAAAATCTGGAAAACAAAAGACCGTCGCCGTAAAACATCCTCTGGACATAAAATACTCGCGACCAAACCTCATCAGAAAAAAATAATGCACCAAAGTCTTAATCCTTCTTTGCAAATAAGGGAAGGTCACATTTAGTCAAACACACTTTCATGAACTGATAAGAAATGAAATTTTTTATAACTTCTGTGGCAGTAGTCGAAAGTACTCGGATACCAAAAAAAGAAAAGACATTTGCAATTGTATGAAACACCTTAGTCGGAAATTTGAGAAACATTGTAAAAAATGATATTCATTGACATTATCGATATTGTTCGACAAAACGTGCTCAAAAAATTCTTGCTGCCTAAATATACTTCATATATATATATATATATGCTGCCTAAATATATATATTCTTGTTGCTTTATATATATATATATATATATATATATATATATATATATATATATATAGATAGAAAGACTGAGATAGATAGATAGATAGATAGATAATAGATAGATAGATAGATAGATAGATATTAAAATGATAGATAGTAATTAAAAAGATTAGATAGATAGATAGATAGATAGATTAGATAGATAGATATTAAAAGATAGAATAGATAGATACACAGGGCGATATTAAAATAGATAGATAGATAGATAGATAGATACAGATAGACATAGATAGATAGATAGATTAAAAAAGACTGAGATAGATAGATAGATGGATAGATAGATGATAGATGATGGATAGATAATGGAAAGACTGAGATAGATGGATGATAGATAGATAGATGGATAGATAGATATTAGATAGACTGAAATAGATTGATAGATAGATAGATGGATAATGGAGAGGATAGATAGATAGATAGATGGATAGATGCGATAGATAGATAATGCTGAGGACTGAAATAGATTGATAGAGATAGATAGATAGATAGATAGATAGATAGATAGATAGATAATGGAAAATGGATAGATAGATAGATAGATAGATAGATGATAGATAGATAGATAATGGAAAGACTGAGATAAGTAGATAGATAGATAGATAGATAGATAGATAGATAGATAGATAGATAGATAGATAGATATTAAAATGACGGAAACTGTAGATAGACAGACAGATAGTAATTAAAAAGACTTAAGTAGATAGGGAGATAGACAGATAGATAGATATGAAAAGGAATTAGATAGACAGATAGATATTAAAAGGAGAGAGGTAGATAGATACACAGGGCGATATTAAAAGCACTAAGATAGATAGATAGATAGATAGATAGATAGATAGATAGATAGATAGATAGATAGATAATGGAAAGACTGAGATATGATAGATAGATAGATAGATAGATAGATAGATAGATAGATAGAGATGAGACTGAAATAGATTGATATATATAGATAGATAGATAGATAGATAGATAGATAATGGAAAAAGACTGAGATAGATAGATAGATAGATAGATAGATAGATAGATAGATAGAGACTGAGACTGAAATAGATTGATATATAGATAGATAGATAGATAGATAGATAGATAGATAGATAATGGAAAGACTGAGATAGATAGATAGATAGATAGATAGATAGATAGATAGATAGATAGAGACTGAGACTGAAATAGATTGATAGATAGATAGATAGATAGATAGATAGATAGATAGATAGATAGATAGATAGATATATCAACTTCATCAAATTAAGCCCATAAGATCCGTTTGCTTAACTTTTTATTGTATCTTTTTATTTTTTTCGAACAAGATGTTGTACATCGGGATCGGAAGTTCATGTCTTGTTATGTTTTTGTTCAAATACTTTCGACCATTATTTTCAAGCAATGAATGTTGTCATAAAAGATTTTGAATGGCTGGTATTTCTTTTGGTGTTCAATAGAATTCAAATCTATGCGTATTGTATCCGTGATGTGTCATGTGTAAAACGCTTTCTTGACTCCACCCGAAAAGAATGCATCAGAATATATGTATTATTGTTATGAAATTTAGCAAAACTTATTTAGATAGACAGAGATTAAAAAAAAAGAAACTTCATATATATATTTTGATATTCATTTGCAGCAAAATAAACTTGATCTTCCTTTTCATAATCTGCATGAAGCGGAAATATTTCGAGGTCATAGAAGTTTATATCAGTTTGAAAACAACACCCCTAAAGCATCCGTTCAAAATTATAGCAAGAACCAACATGATAAAACTTGGTTAGCAGACTGAGAACATTATTGGTGCTTTGAAAAAAATTTCTGAGTAAAATTCCCCAAATAAGTAAATTTAAATATATATCGAAGACGGATGGAACAAGACAAATGAATCGATACTGTTCGAGGTTTGATAGCGACCAATGATTAACAGCAAACAATAATAAGTAACACTCTAGACAAGTCATTTAATATTGCTAACATAACCCTATTTGAAACATTAAAGTTGAACATTTTGCACAAATCTTTTCGCCCAGATCAACAACAAACAAACGCAGCGTTTTCAATAGAAATTCTAAACAAATAGAATCAACATTATTTGCATTATTCGGACTATTGTCCTCATCTTTGTCGCCATATTTATTACAACGTTTTGGCCGTTGTACAGGTGGCTGGAATGTTGAACTGGACCCTTTATTTCGCTCACTGGGGTAGACTGTTCTACTTCCACGTGCCATGCTTTAATGGGTGTCAGTTATCAGTTATCGCCTGTTAATTCCCCTCTCCAAGTTCTCCACTGCCTTAACCGGGTATTGAACTCACACTCGTTCGGTTCTGTCACTGGATCTAACTAACGCCTTTATCCACTGTGCCATGTATGCTTGTGAAACTTTGTAATAATTATGGCGACAAAGATGAGGACAATAGACCGAATTATGTAAATAGTGTACATAATACCTCATCTCAGGAATATAGACAGACACTGAATAGCCGAAACATTGTAATAAATATGACAACAAAGATGAGGACAATAGTCCGAATAATGTAAATAGTGTACATAATACGTCATCTCAGAAATATAGACAGATACTGAAAATATGCCGAAACGTTGTAATAAATATGGCAACAAAGATGAGGACAATAGTCCGAATAAAGTAAAATAGTGTACATAATACGTCATCTCAGAAATATAAACAAATACTGAAAAGGCCGAAAAGTTGTAAAATAGTAAATAATAGCTCATCGTGACAAAGATGAAGGGACAATTTGTAGTGACGAATAATGTAAATAGTTTGCTTAATATCTCATCTCAGAAATATAAACATATACTGAAATTGTGATAAATATGGCGAGAAAGATGAGGACAATAGTCGGAATAATGTAAATAGTGTACATAATACCTCATCTCAGAAATATAAACAATAGAAACTCATAAATATGGCGACAAAGATGATAAATATAAATAGTGTACATAATACCTCATCTCAGATATAAAACTGAAAGGACGAAACGTTGATAATGAATATGACGACAAAGATAAAACAGAACTGAATAAACGTCCGAATAATGTTTAATAGTGTAAATCATAATACCTCATCTCAGAAATATAGACAGAAACGTTGTCTGAAAAGATGAAACTTTAATGTGATAAATATGGCGACAAAATATGGCGACAAAGATGAGGACAATAGTCCACATAATGTAAATAGTGTACATAATACCTCATCTCAGAAATATAAACAGATACTGAAAGGCTGAAACGTTGTCATAAATATGGCGACAAAGATGAGGACAATAGTTCGAATAATGTAAATAGTGCACATAATACCTCATCTCAGAAATATAGATACTGAAAGGCAAAATAGAAATAGTTCAAAATGTAAATAGTGCCATAAACCTCATCTCAAGAAATATGGACAGAAATGGAATTATAATCAGCGGTTCCACAAAAAGTGGAAAAATGTTCAGTCAAAGCAAAAGCAAGCTGCCCAGGAAGAATGATTATGGCGACAGTTTTCTGGTATGTTAAGGGAATTTTGCCAGTTGACTTTTTAGATGAGATATAGTTACATTTGTTTATTACGAAAATGTTTTGAGAAAATTAGCTAAAATGTAGGAAAAAAAGCGCTGTGGGAATGATAACCCTGTCTATTTTTCTCATAAACAAGATCATTGCAAGGATTTCGATGCGAAATCACAAGAAATTGCTATTCAAATTTAGCATATTCTGACCTTTTTTTATTTCCTAAGCTTAAAAGTATTGTAAAAAGTAGTCATTTTAGGACCATTAATGACGCAAAAAGACATGGTGAAATTCTCAGGACAGCCAGTTCTTCCAAGTGAGTATAAATGACTAATATCATCACTTACAAATGTAACTTGATGCTGATGGAGCTTATGTGGAGGAAGAAGGCTAAAACATTAAGATTTACATTAGGATTTTGGCATTTAATTCCATATATCCTCACAACTTTTGCACGCCCCTTGTACACACACACACACACACACACACACAGACTTGAAGTGAGTCTCTCTGTCTCTGTGCTTGTTTATTTTGTCTATAGCTGCATCAGACCTTTTGGTATTGTAGGGTTTTAATTCAGGGATTTTTTTTATCATATATATATATATATATATATATATATGTCATAAAGAATTTATACAGAGAATTAAATTAAATAAATTGCAATGTTAATGTGATTAATGGCGAAATTATTTCGCCAACATGACTTAATGAGACATTAACTTACTATCAATTATTTGAACAGTAAGATCCTTATATTCGAGTTGCTCTCAGATGAAAGACATATGCCAAGTACTTTCGACATATATTTAAATGCCAATAAATAACATATTTAAAAAAAAACATCTTTAGGTCTACACATATTTCGTATTAGCATTTGTGTATATATATTTATCACAACGTTTCGACCGTTGTACGCTCCGCCCTTCTTCAGGTGGTTGGAATGTCGAACTGAACCCTTTATTTCGATCACCGGGGTAGACTGTTCTAGTTTCACGTGCCATGTTTGATGGATGTCAGTTATTAGTTATCTCCTGTCAATTTCCCTCTGAAAGTTCTCCACTGCCTTAACTACCTTAACTTAAAATGCGTA